TACGTAAGTATATTTATCACTTATATTATATAAATCAACATTCATATTTAGTAAACAATGATGTATTTTATATATTCTAGATTGACTAAATTGAAATGGACGTAAAATCAGCTGTAATATAAAAACTATCACATAGCAAAAATGGATTTGATAAAAGGTAATAAAAATATTAACAAACTTTTTAAATGAAGACTTTTCAATAATTTATTATCGCTTTTGAATATTTGATATTCGTATTTCCAACAATAGTTTTTTGTTTTAATTTAAAACTATAATTGTACGGTTTTAAATTAATGTTAAAATTTTCTATTCACAGTATTTTTAATTATTTCAGATTTGACTGTGATCGAGTTCTAGAAAATATGAGTTTTAGATAAACTACAATTAATAAAAATGCAGCCAAATAATGCCTGAAATGTTTTTCTTGCTAAAAGCTAAGTAATTGAATTTATTAGTTTATAAAATCAATATATTTCAGAAATATTGCTATAAAATATTAATATATTTTATCTTATTTCAGGTGTAATCATGATTGAATTCAAGAAAATGTTAAAACATGTATGAAAATAAAAAAGACATCGAAATAATAATTAAGTCTGCAAATTGTTTGAATTAGGATTAACAAGAATTATGATTTACCATTAAAATCCTCTAAATTATTATAATGACTGAAAATATTTTGATTGTTGTATATCTTATCATAAAATAATGTGTAAATTCTTAATAAAGGTATCAAGATTCAATACATAAACTATTTAGAAATGTATCTATTCATTTAGAATAAATAAACTTTTGTTATCAATGAGTTAAATACTGTTTTTCTATATGAATTGAATAATATTTTTTGATGTGGGTTAATTAATAATTTTGAATTTGGGGTAAATATTGTTCATTTATATTGAGCTTTTATTGGTTTTTTATGTAGGGTAAATATTGTTTATTTATATTAATCTTATATTGGTTTTCAATATTGAGCTTATATTGGTTTTGAATGGGATTTTAATATTGTTTATCAATATTGGTTTTATATTGAGCCTATATTGGTCTCAATATTGGCTTTATATGGGAAAATGTTAACAGAATAATATTATAGCAATATTGGTAAACAATATAGAGCCTATATAAAGTACAATATTGCGCCACGATTCGTTTCTACTAGGGTAATGATTTTAAAACCAGGAAAACCAGCTTCAAATGTCACATCTTACAGACCAATCAGTTTACTGCCAATTCTATCAAAATTGTTGGAAAAACTAATATTAGTAAGAATAAAAGAGTATTTAAATATAAAACCTGATCATCAATTCGGGTTTAGAACCCAGCTCTCCACAATACAACAATGTCATAGGATAGTAAATAGCATCGAAAAGGCAATAGAAAGAAAGGAATATTGTTCAGCAATCTTTATCGATATCAAACAGGCATTTGGTAAAGTATGGCACGAGGGCCTACTCACCAAGACAAAAAATTTTTTGCCGCACAAGATATTTTTACTATTGAAAAGTTACTTAACAAACAGATTATTCAGAACTAGAGTTGGAACAGAAACATCAGAATTATGTAACATCAAGTCGGGGATTCCACAAGGGAGTGTTTTAGGGCCACTTTTATACCTCATATATACACACGACATTCCAACTGCAGCAATGTCATAATTGGAACTTTTGCCGATGATACAGTTGTCATGGGAACTCATACAAATGCATCCGTCGCAACGTCAAAAGTTCAACAATATGTCTCCGAATTTGAAAAGTGGCTCAATAAGTGGAAGATTAAAATAAATGAAACAAAATCTAGCCATATAACCTTCACAACAAGAACACTGGACTGCTCAAGCGTAAAAATAAACAACATAGAAATACCGAAATATGAGAGTGTAAAATACCTTGGGATTCATCTCGATAGAAAGTTAAGCTGGTCAACGCACATAAAAATGAAAAGGAAATAGATAGAGAAGAAGTTCAAAGAGTTGTATTGGCTAATTGGCAGGAGTTCAAATATGTGCTATGAAAATAAACTCCTTATATATAAAATAATTATTATCCCAATCTGGACATACGGTATTGAGCTATGGGCGTGCGCAAGCAATTCAAATATAAAAAAAATACAAGCAGCGCAATCGAAAATTTTAAGATGCATTGTGAACGCACCCTGGTATGTTACAAATGACACCCTACATAAAGACTTGAAAATAAAAACTATTAATGAGATGATAAAAGAAAGGAGCAAAAAATACAACGAAAAACTACCAGGTCACCCAAACATCTATTTAAAAGAGTTAAGCGAGGAATATCCCACACGCAGATTGAAAAAAAATGGCCATACGACCTTAAATAAATGTCAAAAATAAAAAAATAAAAGAGAAATATCTCATAGGAGATAATCTCTTATATGCATTAACACCAACATCACATTGTCTTAAAAAATGTATTTTATTTTGATTGACAATAAAAGTATGCAAAAAAAAAATTGTGGCACATTTTCCCCCTTATCTTCGAAACGGCTAAACCAGCTTATGCCAAAAACTAATCAGCACGTCTCCTTATCATTATAAATCGAATGTCTTTTGAACTAGTCAAATCGGTTGACCGGTGTTCCCAAAATCGTCGACGAAAACTTGTATCCGCACACACACACATACAAGCACACACATACAAAAAACTAAATTTTCTTACGTCTGATATTAGATATTTTGTCGTTAAATATTATGATAGTTCTATCAGTTCTAATAAGTCACTTATAAGTTTAATAAGTTAGTAAACTGAGTGAACCTCACCTCTGAGTGCTGGTAAAATTTTTGTTAAAATGTTCTCCATTAGAGGGGACATAGTGCCAAGCAGTGTAACTGTTGATACAATCTGTACATCTGATAACTTGAACATAGCGCTACGCCCAGGTTCATCAAATGTAGCCCAAAACCTGCTAACAAGCTCATGCAACGTTGTAAATAGAAAAGTAGAACCCATGGCTAAACTGTCAGAATTAATTTCAGACCGTCATTTTACAACGAAATGAGTCATTGAAGAGCCTTGACAAATTGATAAATGAACTGCATAAGATCGTCAGATCAAAGTCAAATAAATATAAAGAAGTGAAGACAAAAACAGGTATCATAGTGGATGTAATAAAAAGATTTATGGATTTAGACAACCAATGGATAGAGGAATAATGATAAATGAAGTCCGTAGTGGTGAAACAGACCCAGTAGAAGAAAGTGAACGGCAGGGCACAAGCGAGGCCTCAAGAAACCGAAACTAACAAAATATAAGAAACAATCAGCATAATGAGAAAAATGGTTTGCCAAGACGCCAGTCGATCATGGAAATACGAAACGAAGAGCAAATCGAGCTAAATGACTTGGATAAAGTTCAGCCGAGAATACAAAAAAAACGAAAGCAAGGGTACATCTGTCAGAACAGGACTCTAATCACAAAATGATAAAAATTAATAGAATATTTCCCAAACCAAATGCCTTATTGATTCGGCCTACCAAAAAAGTTAATTATTCCGAAAACTTACGTCGTATCAAACAAGATGTCCCTTATGACCAGGTAAATACGACAGTAGACGAATTAAATAAAACCAGAAATGGAAACATGTTGATAACCATATCCAAGAAAAGCGCGGACAAAGGCCAATCTATAAGGGGCACCAAGAAATTATAGAAACTAGTGGGGTGCATCGTGCCTTAAAATCTTGGCACGGAACCCAGAAAAACTTTTTTATAACAGTTTGAAATAATATCTCATAAATCAAACACATTTCTACAATCATTTACCGACCTGTTTTCTTATTTTACGACTAAAATAAATATATCAAGAACTATTGTACTATACCGGAATTGTGTACACTTATCCTATACAAAATATATGAGTTTCTTTGCAGATGTATGTGTCCTGCACACAATTATTTTATTTTTGTTTTTATACACATTTGTTTTGATATACGTTAATTATTGCGCCTAATTCCATTTGTTTTCAAAACCTACGCTCAAATATCTCTTTCACATTCACAATCCACCCTTCGTGGCGAATCGGTATCATATATTCTTTATTCTTTTCCTTAACATGGTTGTTGCGAAGTATTTGTTAATTGCGTTTTTAGTTGTGTGTAATAATTTGCGTTTTAAGGTTTTTATATTTTACTAGCTGACTCGGCAAACGTTGTTTTGCTAAGTAAAGTACTTCTAAACAATTTTTAGAAAATAAAAAAAAAAGAATACTTTATTTTAGGAGTGTAAGGATGTGTTGTTTGAATGGTACAGACAATGAGGTATTATAAACACAATAAACCCCAAAGTCTACATGTATAATAATGAATTATATAATTCATAATAATAATAGTCGTTTGTCCACAATCAAACTGGAAGTTTTATACACTTTCTATAAAAATATGGTATAATTCAATCCAAGTCTTTTTTAGTCTTTAGCCATGGCCTATGTTCAGTTGGTCATTTTTCCCCACACAGATGTAAGTTATTAAAGTGGTTATATAAAGAAAACTGTTGAATCTCACTCAAAGTTAACATTACATTTAATAAAACAATTAAATAGTGTATAGTTAAAATTTATATTAAGGTCTCGTGAACTAAATCACTAAATATTCTCACATTACATTTTTTCTTATTGTTAATTGTAACATATAAAATGTTTTTTAGTTTGTGTAATTTTTCAACACTAGTTCTGCCTTAATTTATAATGATTTTATTGTTTAATTTCTGATAAATTTTTATATTATTTCTTATGTAATTTTTTGTAGTTTTGACCACTGAGAAAAAGTCAAATTAGAAGTCGAAACGTATGAATCTATTTTAAAATCTACTTATAAAAAGTTTGTAGCTTAAATAGTAAGTAATCAACAAGAATCAAATTGAGACTAGAATCTTAAGAATCTACTAAATAATTAAAATTAGGTTTCTACGGACCTCTTAAATAAAAAAAAATTGTAGCATAGTTATACAACTGTTTATGATAACAACCTAGAAACCCGAGCTCAATTACCTCAAGAAAATCAAACTTGCACCCTTCAGAAGGTTCAATATCAAAATAATCGCGAAAATCTAGTCTCAGCAAGTGGCCTGGAGGCGCTGCAAATACAAAATATTATTAATTACATGGCAAAAAATTCAAAAGTATTAATCTTTATTCCTACTAAAAAATAAGTTCTGAGTAATAACCAGATGTTATCTATGGTTCCTTGAAACGACAAAAGCCAATTATATAGAGTGATAATATTAAAAACATATTTCATCGCAGTCACATAAAAATGTATATCAAGTATATGTTTATTATTACAAAAAAAATGAAATAGATAAAATTAAAATTATAATAGTTTATTAATTCTACAGCATATCACGAATCAAATGAAGTTTTAACAAAATATTTTAGCATCAGCATAATTCTCTATAAAGCTGAGTATGCTTGGAAAAAACAACCATTAAACGAGGTATCATTAGTCAAAAATTATGACAAAAGTGCATAATCTATGTAATTTAATAATCTAGTCAATATTGCATGATTATTGACTATTTAATTTATATTGGTTGAAAAAATATTTTAAATTAATACATTTTTAACTGCACTTCAACACAATTTGTTGATTTTAATCTTTAATTAAATTTATATAAAACACTAACAAATAAGATATAAAGACAAAATACAATATATTGCAATGATGTCGACAACATTGATCATCCTACGTAGAAATGAATCTCAGTAGCATCTTGAACCAATATCAATATGTGTATATTATTCAGATGATTTTTGGATATGGAATCATCAACAATTATATGACTTATTATACTTTAAACAGTTATAATACATAGTTATAACATATAATAAGGAAGAGTCAAATGTTTTTAATAAATTATTTATACTTATTCTCAAAAAAATATTTTTGGTAGCAGTGTGAATATTTGTATACTGGTTAAAAGTGCGATAAAAGTAATTTTATAACTGAATGATCATACTAAATCAATCACTACTGAGGGTGCCAACGAGCAATAAGTATTGAAAAAAAAGCTGGGCAGAACAATATTGAATCGTGATCAGTTACCTAATTGACACTAAACATTAATCTGATATAATGATAAAATAGATTTGGTTTTACATTAAGATAAATAAACTGGAGACTATAAACGAATACTATACAATTTGCCAAAGACTTAGCCTCAATTATATTTTATAAACTTATAACATTATATTGTTCTTATATTGTTATATTATATAATTAATTGCTTGATATATAATATAACAAATGTATAAGGTTGTTCGGAAAGTTATTTCGTTTTTTTTTTCACAGGGGATTCAATTGTGTCTTTTTGAACCTAACATCACACTTCAGCACGGTGTACACGACGCCAGATTACCTGTAGTGCAGTAAACGGAGCGTTTTAGGTCTGAATTTTTTTACTGTGCTCCGAATTGAATGAAATTTTGGAATTAGGTTCATCTTACCCTCAAGTTCAAAAGTGAGAACAATTCTTGTTGCGCCATCACCCCGCGGGGGGATGACACCCCCTCTCAATTGTGTAATTACATTTTTTTCGAAATAACGTCGGAAATCGACAGAAGGACTAATTATAAGAAAAAAATGTTTTCTATAGTTTTCAAAAAAAACTAGTACTTTTCAAGTTACTGGTCACTAAAGATTCATATATTTTTGGCGTTTTTCTTCGTTATTCTGCACATATCTTCTACAATATACATTGTAACGAAAACCATGTAATGAACAAAATAATGTCAATAAAAATCTTAATAAATCGGTATTATATAAAGTGTTCTAGGAAAAATATTAAGCAAGATTTGAAAGAGCAAAGTCCTTTTTTACTTCGTTCAAGATTTAATTGTATTTAAAGCCATCTAGTGTCGAGGTTTTACATTTTATGCATTTCAGTGAAATTGGGTTTTTATAGTGCTCAACATAAGCTTTAAAATGAGTGCTGTTACAAGTTTTTTGCGTGTAAAGTGAGTGAGCTATCATGCAAATAAGAAGCATATACCAAGTTTTTTTCTTTTAAATTATATGGTTTAATGAGCGCCATTTCCACCAGAATTAAAGTAATTCACATTGCATTTAGAATTCACTTCATTATAGACATCTTGATGGATTCTAACAGATTCACTACTTTAGTACAAACTATTTTCAGAAAACTCACGATTTTATAAAATCTTTTTTTTCCAATTTTTTTAAAAATCAAAATTATTTTCATTATATCTCAAAAAGAATAAAAGATACGTATAAAAGCATATAGATAAAAATCAAAGGGATTTTTCTGGCTTATTATTGTTTTTTATCATATTTCTTTCACACAAAAATTGACAGAGTTATGAATGTTTAAAGACTGCGCGGTCGCGCAAACTGAAAAAAAAAACATTTTATAAAATCGTGAGTTTTCTGAAAATAGTTTGTACTAAAGTAGTGAATCTGCGAGAATCCATCAAGATATCTATAATGAAGTGAATTCTAAATGGAATGTGACTTACTTTATATTTGCAAAAAAACGAAGAAAAACGCCAAAAATATATGAAAATTTAGTGGCCAGTAACTTGAAAAGTATTAGTTTTTTTGAAAAACTATAAAAGACATTTTTTTCTTATAATTAGTTCTTCTATCGATTTCCGACGTTATTTTGAAAAAATCTAATTACACAATTGAGAGGGGGTGTCATCCCCCCGAGGGACGATGGCGCAACACGAATTGTTTTCACTTTTGAACTTGAGGGTAAGATGAACCTAATTCCAAAATTTCATTCAATTCGGAGCACAGTAAAAAAATTCAGTGGTTATACCCTTTTTTCCTCTCCGTTTACTGCACTACTGATTAGTGCATGCCGGACTATGTCCTCGAAAATTCCTGCCCTATTTTACGAATAGAGCATGTCCTTTTCGGCGATGACTAAACTGTTTTGCGGCCGATACTTTTAGTGTCTAATAGAAAAGCTGTATTTTGTTAAGTAAATATCAATGTGTACTTGATTTACGTACTTCGACTTTGAAAGCGTTCAACTTTTATTTTGTGAATAGCTATTGTGTATATATAGCTATGTGAAATGATTAGATTTTAAGGAACGCAGTTCAGTATTTTAAAATATTAAAATTTTCAAAAAAATTCAAATCGTTTTGTTTCAAAAATTTCAAAATTAGCAAAAATACTGAAAACTTTGAAAAAAAAAATGATATTAGCGAAGAAATCTAAATTTTAATATTTTTTTAAATTTCAAAATTTTTATTATTTAAAAATACTAAATTTACATAAAACTTTTACTAAGCTTTTCATAATCCTTTCAATATTTTTATAACAATATTAACTATCGTCCAGTTTTGCTTCAGCTACGAAGCAGTGCACATCGTCCGTTATACCTGCGAATAATCCGGTTTTATACCTGCAGTATTTACGTACCCTGTACGGGTACGTGAATTCAATAATCAAACTACTGATAAGCCATTGTTATCAATAGAAGTGTCAAATAGTGCAAGTGAAAACAACAGTGTTTGAAGCATGACCCCGGCTGGGGTCAGCCATCATGAGTGCTCAAAAGTCGTTTATAAAGCGCTTGAAACCTTAAATAATGATAATGAAAGTGATTTCGACAGTATGGAGGAAAGCGACGAGTTTGTTGACGATCCTATTGTTAATCCTATTAACTATCAATCAAATACATCTAATGCCAATGTTGATTGGCAAGTTGTAAATCACAAGAAACGAGCAGCAACACCCACGGAGTCTTCAAGAAGACAAGCCAAGGTAGTGGTAACGAAAGACTACTGGCTTAAAGCTAGTACTCCAACCAGAAATTATTATGCAGTTTTAGAAAAAACATCTGATCAAAATTCACCATCTCAAAACAAACAAGTGCAAAATAAAACAGCGATCAAACCTCCACCGATTTTTGTTCACAAAGTGGGAAATATCAAGCCATTGATTGAACTGTTAGAAAGCGAAGTCAAGAAACAGTACACACTAAAAACTATAGGAACATCACAAGTGAAAATAAATCTTGAAAGTGCACAAACTTATAATATTATTCTAAACAAACTGAAAGAAAGAGGAACACAGATGCATTCCTATCAAGATAAGTCAAAACGGTCATTTAAAGTCGTGGTTAAAAACTTACACTTTAGCACCGACCTAGACATGGTAAAAAAAGAAATAGAAGAACTAGGGCATAAAGTCGTACACATCTCTTTCCTCAGAAGCAGATATACAAAATTCCCACTAAATATTCTCTCGGTAGAACTGGAGCAAAAAGAAAATAATAAAGATTTTTACAAAATTGAATTTTTATGCAAAACAAAAGTTGAAATTCAAGCCAAACGATATTCTCGCGAAATAGTCCAGTGCACACAATGTCAAAGGCTAGGACATACAAGAAATTTTTGCTACAGAACTCCCCGCTGCGTGAAATGCGCTCAGGAACACCCAACTAAAAAATGCTCATGGACAGACAAAATAAATAGCGGAGTAACATGTGTTCTCTGCAATGGAAATCATCCGGCTAACTACAAAGGCTGCAGGGTTTATAAAGAACAGCTCGAAAGAAAATATCCAGCTCCTCGGGAAAGGCAATTCACTTCCAATAGGCAATTTACCAGTAACACAACAGTACCTGGAGTTTCGTACTCAAGGATTGCTCGTGGAAATACACACCCAGCTGAAGAGACTACTGAAGAGTCTACTACAAACAAAACAAACAACAACAATAACGACCTATATGAACTCAAAACAATGATCAAAACACTGACCGAACAAATGAGCACAATGCTCAATATACTCACAACAATTTTAAACAGGAAGTTTTAATGGCAGGGATTTTAAGAATATGTTTATGGAACGCCAATGGTCTGTGTCAGCATACACAGGAGCTTAAATATTTTTTAATAAACAACAACATCGACATCATGCTTATATCTGAGTCTCATCTCACAGACAAAAAGGACTTTCGTATTACTAATTACCAAACGTATAGCACAAATCATCCGGATGGAACAGCGCATGGTGGATCAGCCATAATTATTAAAAACAAGATCAGACATACTGTTTTAGAATCATTTTCCACTAACTACATGCAAGCAACAAATATTGCTG